AACAGATTCTTTAGGGTTTTCTATATATACAATCATGTCATCTGCAAATAGTGAGAGTTTCACTTCTTCGTTACCTATTTAGATTCCTTTTATTCCTTTTTCTTGAATAAAAGGTATTTTTTAAAAAAGAGTAATAAGAGCCTAGCACCTTGCAGTTTGGAAAGGGTGTGGGTGGGACCACGGGGCATCGTGCCATCCTCTGAGGGCCCCCAACAGCCAAGGGCCCCTCAGCCCCCAGAACCAGGGGTCTCCATGTGGCTGGAAACAGGCCTGGGGCTGGGCGGGTACGTCAGCAGGACCCGGATGGCAGTGAGTGCGCCATGGAGCGGGGACTAAATCCAGACAACATTCAGGATTTGCTAGAGCTGCTCTCTGACAGCAGAAAAGAAAGAACCCAGATTTGTTCCAGTTGAAAGGGTCCTTTGGCTATTGCCACTTAAATATATATACATATAATTTTACATGTACACATTTAATATATCACATGTACTTAATATATTGTATATACTGAACATATACATAATTCATACATAACAAATCTGTCTGCGTGCGTGTGTGTGAATGACAGAGGCACAGCCTGCGCCGTCCCCGTCCTCTGGGAAGAAGGGGTCTCCAGGTCCCCTGTGTGAGCAATGCCGGCCCCGGGCCCTGGGCCCCCATGCCCGGCCGTGCTCACAGTGAAGGGCACTGGCTGTGTGGAGGCTGTGGGGTGGGGTGACAGATGACAGGCCATCAGCAGTCCGCTTTGTCTTCCTCTGAACCGACCACTTCAGTCAACGCTGCTTGGTGAATTTTAGAGATTTGCAGCAAAAGCACTTCACGCTCCAGAGGAGGAGAGAGATTAAGAAGACACCTCGGTTTTCATTCAGAGGGAAGCCTTTCTGAAGCCTCTCTTGCCCATGGAGGATGGCGGCTGCAGGGACGGGGTGACAGTGAAGGCCTGTGTGCATGCGCCCCCCGCCCCGAGCCCCTCACTTGCCCCCAGAGAAGCTGAGGGGGCAGCACGGGCCCCACCAGGCCTTGTTTTCCACCCACTGGGCTGGGTTCTGGGGCTCCCCGAGCCTGCTGACAGGTGCGTTACGCCAGCACCCTGTCCCCACTGCGAGGGCTGAGGGGGAACCCCAAACGGGGCCGTGAGGCCGGGAAGGGTGTGCAGTGCCCAGAGCAGAAGCCTGGACGTCCGTGTGCAGTGTCAGCCCCAGGTCAGCCCCATCTGCTTGGCTCTGCCACCCGCCCCCCATGAGCAGCTGGACACGGGGAGCACGAGGCGCAGCACCTCCCGGCAAAGCGCTGTATGCAAGTGCTGCCCGATTCTAGTCATCAGCCACAGAGGCTCTTCTCTCCACAGCTGCGTCCTCCAAACGAGTTGGTTGGGACAAGAAGCTTGGATCTTGATGTAGAAGATATCATTGATAAAGTCTTTTATTTAGGTTTTTATAAATAAATAAAAATGAATAAATCCAAAGCATGCCAGCCTACACAAGTCTGATAGACGCCTGGCCGTGCTCACGTCAACAGCAGATGAGAGCCTGTCTGAGAGAGGAGAGCACCGTGCAGCAGCAGGACGGCCCCACCTGGTGGCTCAGGGACCGCAGGCTCCCCAGGTGGGGCAGGCCGCTTCTCCTCTCCTGCCACAGAGGAAGGATGCCACGCAAGGCTGGTGAGAACTAAGGCAAACACCCCAAATCTCATCACTCTCCTCCATCCATCACTAAAGAGCCCAGCCATGGCTCCCAGGGACAGAGGGACCAGGGCTCCACCTGCCTCATGGGGCATTCGAGGCCCTTTAGGATTTGGTACCAATCACGCCAGCCCTGTCCCCCAGGACTTCTCGCTGCCCCATGAAGGTGCCCCTGCGGCCACCTGGGACAGCCCCACTCTGCCTCTCCTTCTTGTCCTATTATTAAGACCCACTCAACTGCCACCAGCTCTCTGAGGCCCTCCAGCCCACCCCTGTGATTGCAGGAAGTACCTCATCAATAGATTGGGGCTGCTCCCCAAAGTCAGGTTATTGGAGGGGTGTTTTATTCATCTCTGCACACAGACGGCTGACTGCAGCTGGAAAGGGGTGTTCCCACAGCAAAGGCTCGGCCGGCACATGGCTGGAGAGACAGCTGATCCACCCCTGCCAAGGGCCCCTTCCATCTCTGCACCCTGGGCAGCCAAGGATGCTTTCCAGCTATAAATGTGGTTGTGTCACTCATCTGCTGTGAAACCTTTGATGGCTCCTCTTTGCTCTTGGGAACAAGGCCACAATCCGTACAAGGCCTGGAGTATCTGGCCCTAGCCTGGGCCCCTGCCGCCCTGCTGGTCTCTCTCCTTCATTACAGTGCCTTCCCTCCCACATCACGTCCTCACAACCTGCCTCCTCTCCCACCTCGACTAACCCTCCTGGCCCGCAGCCCCAGCCGGCTTCAGCCTTCACTCACACACATCCCTGGGAGCTGCCCCATGCCTCCACACAAGGGCAGACCCCACAGACGCCTCCTCACGAGGGCAGACCCCACAGACGCATGCTCCTATGGCACCTCTGCCGCACTTCCCACCATCTGTCATTACACAGGCATGATTCTATATGAATAATACCCCCCTAAATCCCCACTGAATGGTAAAATTCAGGAAGACAAAAAGATGTGTCCTTGCTCACCATTATTCATCCTCAGGCTCAGCCGTGAGGAAGCGCATGGCACACACTCAGTCTCTGAACAAGTGAATGACTGAACAAATGAATAGCAAGCAAGCAACTTCAGAATCTGGTGGGTCCCCAGAGACACTCTTCATGAGACCAAGGTCCATACATGAGAGATGCTTTGGAAATGATAGAGAAAACCTGGAATCCAGAAGAGGCCATGACTACCACTTAGCCCTAACTGTGGGCCAGGACATACAACCTGCAAAGTAGGCAATCCCACCACTTCTGACTAGAAACAGAACCTCGGGGAGAGGGTGTGCCACTGTCAAGGCCATTCAGCCACAGGGGAGAGCCAGACTTCTCCAGGTGGGCTGGGCCGAGGCTGCAGCTCTCCCTGACTCCCCACTGTCTCACTGAGTGACCAGGGTCTTCATCCATCTGGTGGACACCGGAGCCATCTGGGTCCCAGGTCTGTCTCCTGTGACCCACAGAAGCAGCTCATGGGGGAGGAAACTGGACACACCATGCCTGGCCTGTGGCAGATGTTCGGAGCAGAGGAGCTGGCTGATGGCACCGGAGCACCCCAAAGCCGAGGGCCGCTCGGACTGCGCTCCCCCTGCACCCAGAGATTCTAGAGGGACATTGTCAACTTGCCCATTAGCCACTTTCCAATTACAAATGGCAACAGCAGGGCCAACACAGGGACCCAAGAAGAGCCAGGAGCAGGCTTCTCAGCGAGCTCTGCCTATGTCTCCCTGTGTCCAGGGTAAGCGAAAGGAAGAGAGCTCTAGAAAAGGAATCCAGCCACGCCTCTCCTGAGAAGTGCTGCTGTGCCGGAACGGGGTCAGGAGAAACAGCGAAAGTGCTCCCCGGGAGTCGCGGGGGCTGTTCGCATGCTCGCCTGGAACGGAGCCTGAAGATGGCCTGCTAACACACTGGAGCACGGCTAGCCGGGCTGCTGCTTTGTGAGTAATTCTCTTCTGGAACCGGGTTGGTTCTGCATTGGCTCTGAACAAGCCAGTGCTCCCAGTCCCCGAAGCCCCTGGAAGCAGTGTGGAAGGCAGAGGGGCTGCTCCTGTCGTCTCTGTTCTGCTGGCAACAAAGACAGGCCCCATCAGAGAGTGCTGTGACACGAGCCTCTGTTCTCCTCTGTCCTGAGCCTGGGAACAGCCTGAAAAGGGATGTGAAAAAAGCCCAAACCAGCGGAGACCAGTTCCTCTGCAGAGAGGACACTAAGTGGATGGAACGTGATTTAAGAAGACCACATCCTCCAGGAAGGCGACAGAGGAGAGAGGCGCAAACAGACCCCTGGTGCTGCCGCGGAGTGAGGCACGTACCTGAGTGAGCTCACCTCCTCCCTGGAGAACAGGAAGCTCTGCTCAGTGGGGTCTGACTGAGACTTCAGCATCTTCAGCTCCATCTCCAGCTAGGAGAAAACACAGGACGAGGGTCAGGGGGGACGGGTGCTGCTGGAGCCCCTTCAGCAGGGGGCTTCCAAGAACCCTCGGCCAGGCACCTGAAATCCAGAAGGCGGCATCCAGTTTCCCTCGGCAGTAGGGCAGGATCCCCACCTTGTGTGGGGAAGCTGGTGGGAGACACCATTCTCCTGGCTCCCTCATCTCCTAGGAACCCAGAGACCTGAAGCTGCCAGACCTTAAAGTATTCTAGCTTGTGCAAACACAACTTCTTTCTCTTTTTTAGAACTTGTCTCCAGAATAGCAACAGAGACACACAGTCATTCTGGAGTATGTTGAGGGGAAATATGAAAATCTGAGGAAAAGGGGGACGCAGCAGTTGGAAAGAACATATTCTAAATTTACCAATGCTTTGATCTGTGTTAACAGTCACGGGATTTTATTTATTTGCTACTTCAAATTCCTCTATAGAATGACAGGTGATGCAGATTGCCCGGAAGGGAACATGGATTTTCAGACACCTGGGGGAATGGAGGCGGGTAGGGAGCCAGATGCACTGAAGGCTCCAGAAAGAGCAGGAAGTAGACTCCCACCCAGTGGTCCTGGGTAGAGGAACAAGAAGGGGCAGGATGGGCCCGGTGCAAAGCAGTCAGACTCTGGGCGGACCTTCCCATGAGTGAGCCCCTGGCTCCGGCGGGGCTGGGATGTGCTCATCCAAAGCAGCACTCGGCTGCCTTGGGCTTCAAAGGCCCCTCTGACCAGACAGCTTCTCTAAGGGACTTGGGGCCTCTGACGGCCTCAAACACTGCCAACAGCCTGGAAGCACACACTCAAGCCTTGTCAGCTGGTTGCAGGCTCAGTGTCGCTGTCCTCTGACTGGGCTCTGGCCATTCCTCAGGGCCTCCCCCACCCACAAGGCAGCTTAGTCCTCAGGGCATGTGAATCAGTAAGAGAGGAGGGCCAAGCGCAGGGGCTAGAGGGAGGGAGGGAAGCCCTGGTTTCGTTCCAGCTCTGCCACTTACTGGCTCTGCACCCAGGCCACTTGGCCTCCTTCCCACCTTCACTGTCAGCACCAGGTAATTCTTGCTCTTCCCGCTGGTCCCACAAAATGGACCTCCTTCCCTGACCCCAGCTCCCTGCTGAGAGCGCTCCTGCACCCAGTGCTGTTGGTCAGGGCACTGAGCTGGATCTGATCAGGGTCTGCGTGTCTGACTGCTGTACGCCCAGTTCCTGGACCAGAACAGGAGCTCAGTAACTACTGGTAGAACAAGAGTCTCCGTGTGAGAGGGAGGCAGGCGCCGTGCTGAGCCAGAGATGCAAGAACCCAGATCCAAACCACCAGCCTGTGCTCAGGCCCCTCAGCGTGCACCCAGGATGATCTCCATCCTCTCGCACAGACGTGGGTGCTGAGGCTCCTTCATACGATTCTCACACTCTGGTGGTTTTCTAGCTGTCTCAGACCGTGTGCTCAGTGCCCCTCAATTTCTCAGGTGTTTAGCTTGCCCACAAGGAAACGAGCAGGTGAGGAGAGGAGACAGTTGCCCCTCATTTTTTACAGGGCTTTCCAGGAAGGCACAGTCCACGTGGCGGGTGCAGCACCAAAAACTGGGGGCGGCCGAGAGCTCCCAGCTCCTGCACCAGCACGTGAACGATGCTATATCCTGTGCTGAGATGGACAGGATGGGATCAGCAAGGAAGGCACCGTGACAGATTAGCAAGGACGGACTGACGGGAGGAGAGCAGGGCACATTTCCACTTATCTGCCTTCCGGGCCTAAATGAACAGCCCAACATCTGCTGTGCTTGCTTCTTGAAAACATTCTCTCCAGGCCATTTCTAGAAAGGTCCTCCTTGGGCAACCTGATTTAGGAATTCTTGGGCCCAAGGCATCCACTCTATGAAGCCCCAATATTAACTATCAAGGTCCCTGGAAGAAACCTTGCTCCTAAATGGGACCAATGTATAACTGGGTGACCCCAGTCCTGCCCCCAAATAGGACTAATGCACAACCAGGTGACCTCAATCCTGCGCCCAAACAGGACCAATGCACAACCAAGTGACCCCAGTCCTGCCCCTCAAAATGGACCAATGCACAACTGGGTGACCCCAATCCTGCCCCCAAACAGGACCAACACACAACTGGTGACCCAATCTTGCTGAACAAGCATGAGCACCCTCTGGACCATGTTTCTAGAATGGCCTCGGCAAAGTTCGCAAAGGCAGAGGAGAAGGGTCAGAACCCAGTGACATGTGGCCCACACCTGACCTCCCTGAACTCTGGTGCCGCCAGCACCCACTGAGCTAGCCACTTGCACTGACAGATGACAGGTGCCTCTCACAGCATGCCTTCTGTCATTAGGGTGATGTCTCACTTTACAAAGTAAGCACTAAGTGACCACTTAGTGGTGTCACAAGATGGTGTCGCAATGTGGAACAAAACCTGTTCATATTCCAGAAGAAGCAACATTCACCGTGTCCTGTGGCCCTCTCCCATTATTCCCACCTCCCCCAGAAAGCTGGCACTCAGATAAAGTTTCCTCCTAGGAACCAAGTTATCTTGATGCACGGAACACTCTCTGTCACTTTTCTCTGAACTGTCTGGGTTCAGTCACTCCTTTCTGATGCCACCCAGACTGCTGACCTAGCAGCTGGTGGTCCCTGCCTTTTGCGGTGAGGTTCAGCTCACAATGGTCTTTGCTGGGTGGGCTCCCAGAAAGCCCTTGTCCTAACTGTGCCCATCCTCATGGCCACAGCCGAACAGACTAGTAGACACACTGGACCAAGAAGATTCTCTCCTGGAGGGACACAGGACAGGGCCTGAGAGTCCAGTCTGGGCTGATCCATCTCTCTCTGTTTGTTGGGTGGTGGGGCTGATCTCTTGAGCAGAGGAGATGCACATCTTAAGCACGTCTCCGTTCTTCCCCTTCTTGTTACAAAAATGGGAAGATATCCTACACGTTGCTTTATACCTTTCTTTTTTCACTTAATATATTGTGGAGATGTTTCCAAACCAGTGCATAGAGAGCTTCTTGGTTCATTTCTGTGGCTTAATAGAACTCCACCATGTGGGTACCCATCTCTTATTTAACAGTCTCCTACCGACAAACATTTAAACTGCTTCCCATATGACAGTGTTATAGTCAATGCAGAGGTGACCCAGCTCTTAGACACTCTGGTTCCCATGTGTGCAAGTTCATCTCAGGATGACCTCTCACGAGCCATTCTGCAGGGTCAAAGGGCATGTCCATTTGTAGTTTCGTCAGACACTGGCAGGCTGCCCTTAGGAGACAAACTACATGCCCCAATACTATGTATCAAAAGGCTGGATCGCTTCCCACGATTTAATACTCCACTTTATCACTCACTAAAGTCCTGTTTGTAACCGGGTCTGCTTCTGACATCCTATTCTGTTCCACTATTCTGTCCACAAGAATCTTACAATCTTGGGATCCTTTCTCTCCCCATCCTATCCCACCCCTCTACCATCAAAAAAAAAAAAAAAAAAGACCATCAAAAGTCTTTAAAAAAACTGTTTTAAACGTACAGGGTAACTTGGGAGAACTCACGTCTCAGGGTACTGGCTTCCTGCTAAAAGCACACGGCCCCTCTTCTCACGGACACAAGTCATCTTTCAGAACTCGCAAGAGCTTGTGGAAGGTCCCCCATTCAGATCCTACAAATTCCCTGTAGGCCCTTAGTCTTGGGTATTTTTTCTTTTTGCCTTTTTTTGTTGTTGGTGTTGTAAATGGGGGCATTTCTTCTACTCTCTCTGTAACTTGTTTTTGTATATACATATGACTTTTTAAATTTCTGCATGTGGTTTCCCATCCTTTACTAAATTCTCTGGCTGACTACAGTCATTTTCAGCTGACTGTCTCGGCACACAATCATGTAGCTGCAAAGAATGATCACTTCCCTCCTCCCTCCCAACATTTTATACCTTTGATTTCTTCCTCATCTCTAATTTTGATGACTAGTATCTCCAGAATAGTAAATTATAGCTGTAATACTGGCCGTCCTTGTTTGTGGCTTCACTGAAACTGAATCTAGGATCTTCTTATTTATAGCATGTCAGTTTTTGGTTGAAAAAGATATATTTTATCATGTTGAGAAATTACCCACATATTCATATTTTAAGAGTTTTTAATCAAGACCGAATGTTACATTTTGCCAAATGCCTCTTCAGCAAACATGGAGAAGATACCCTATGAACTGATATCCTAAAATCAAACCAGCAGTGCAGCCCTGGAGAAGCCTACCTGACATGGTGGATGCTAGCGTGCTGACTTCACTTCCTGACATGGGAACACGGGCTTTCACCCGTGTGACTGGTCTGCAGTCTGTACACACGTGTGTATGTGTGCATGCACACAACACAGGTGGGAATTGTCACAGTCGTGTCAATAGAACACTCCCTTCAAGAAGCTCTGCTCCTCCTCCCTGCTCTAGTACAGTCTATACAGTGTGGATGGTACTGGTATTTTGAAGATCTAGTAGAATTTCCTCATGAAATTGACTCAACTTGATGCATTTTCTGTTTCTTTTTGTTGGGGAGGCAGGGGCGGCTTTTCTGTGACAACTTTATAAATCAGTCTGTTTAGAATGTCTATCTCTTCTGGAGTCTATATTGATAGGTTATATTATCCTACAAAATTATTCATTCCATTCAGATTTTTATTTAAATAGAGTTGGGATATAATTCATAATTCTTTTTAAAGAATTCATGTAGAACTCCTGATTCTTTTTAGGTTTATTTTCATTTTTATTTATTTTCTTTACTATTGAGGTAAAGCTTACACATGGTAAGGTGCATAAATCTTATGTGTACAGCTCAGTGACTTTGTACACACGTCTACACCTGTGGCACCACTGTCCAGATCAAGATACAGAACTCTCAGTACCCAGGTCACTCTTCCAGGCCCCTCCCAGTCAGGAAGTCCAAGGTAATTACTCCTATTCCTTATTTTGAGTGGTGATGCTTTCTATTAATTTTTTACTAGGATTGTGAATAA